GAGGTCGACGGTTCAGCGCATTGTCCTCATTATAAATGACCTGACGCGCTCGAAGCTATCACGGTACACCAAAAGCCGCAGCGCTTTCGAAGTTGCCAACTGACGGAGTAACCCAGACCTCGTAGTCAGCCTTATGAGTGTTTGCGAGGGGTGGTCGAATAGCGAAGTGACGAGCAGGCTGAAATGGTTCCTTATTAATATGACCTCTATGACACTCCCACTCGGTCGGATCCGAGCCATGTGTGACGGCACGCCTAGAGACTGTTTCGGTCACGCCAGCCACCCTGCGCCATCTCCTATCTCCAGTCTTTTGTCCTGTCTTGACACAGGGTCCAGGCGGGTGAATCTAACAGAGAGTGGTGTAGGTGCCTTGAAAGTCTACTCTCACCAAAATCTAGCACAATTCACCGTCCCTGTATTACCCTTTTGTGGAGCACACGGTGGGCCTCTTCGAAACCGACGGTCAAAATGTCGTACTTCAAAATTAAAAGTACACTAAGCTACCGAGTGAGGATTAACCAAACGACTGCCTACTGAATTATTCTTCAGAACCTGTTTATTACGAGGTGGACAGGCACACAGTGTCTCATGTAGTCTTTCAATGGCTCTGCCCTTGATCTGGATAACAGTCTGAGTTTTCAATGAAACTGTAATCGAAGAGGAGGAGGAGGATAAAGTAATTAAGAGGCACAACCCCAGAGTTCTGTTAGTCCAGCGCCCACACGAGTGGTGGTGGCGGATAACGGAACGGTCGTCTATAAATATCGCTGGCGAAGAGGCAATCACAGACAAATAGCTTGAATGCCAATAAGGCAGGGAAAGGGTCGAGCTCTAGCACAATGAACAACAGTCCGGACGGCTGCTGAGGAACCACATATGCGAGCAATTTTGATGACAGTTCATGACATTGGGTGGCTGGCTGAATCAGGCGTGAACAGAGCCATATCAGGTCAAGTTCCAGTGTTCACGTCCAGCAGGCAAGGGCTAAACACAAAAGCGCTACCAAAAGTACTACGCGGTTGCTGTGGTGTTGCTGGTATCAAGGCCACTTTTGGAAACGTCGAACTGGAGCAGGAGGGGGAGCTGAACAAAGTAAATATCAATCTTCTAGGAAAGCAACTTGCAGGCTTGGCGCACAAAGAGTAACCAGCGCGTGAACGATTTTATGTCGATAGAATACATGTACAGCATCTATTACACACACACTCTCTCGCTTGGGCTCGAGGTCTAGGCACAGCCAGGAAAATCGGGGGTAAGCGCAGATAGCTAGTGCAGCGTGAACCCGTATGTAGATATGCCAGCACACCCCCAGGTCAATGAAAAAAAGACTGGTATTCGGGCGGTCGAAAGTGGCTAGCCGATTCGGTAGCTTGCAGTACAAAAGGCGAACCTCTTTAAACAGCCATAAATGATGCCTCAAACTGTTGAAACTTGAACACAATACAGCAGCCATGCTCTTGACCTGGCGGGCGGGCAGTAACCAAGGTCCCCGTTTGGTGCAGTAGAATGAATTGAGTATTCGAGTTCACCAGTTAGACGCTGAAGGAGACGTACACGCTAATCATTATCCTCGAATGTTGGTATCAGAGAAAACGCCCGGCTTGATCAGTATAAAGTGGGCGATGGAACCCGTAAAAGGCGCTCGTCGAAATCTGCGTGATTCGTAGAATGTGCATGGTAGGTTGCTGTTTTTACTTATTAAACTCACATGATGCATTAAAAGAAGTCGCTTTATGAAAGAGCACCAACGAAGACAAGAGAGACCGTGATAACCGTTCCTACCTTCTTAACCATCGTCAGTCAACAAAACCTAACCCCCGGTTAGCATGGTTTGGGATTCAAAGCCCAGCTCTTTAATTAATTAACAATAAATCGTCTGGCGCTCAGTCACTGAGCTTCAGGCCCAGTTTCCTGTCGGTTGCTATAGCAACATCGGCGAACAGCATGCCCAGTACCTTTGCTGGGAACAGGGCGAAAACGTTGTCAAACACAATTATACTACTTGCGGTACTAATTGTTCTTGGAATGGGCATTATGCGGTTATTTCGCAGACGTTGAATGTTAGCGGTTGAACATATACCGATTGTTCTAACGGACGCACCCTCGAGCCTCGCCAGGAGCCACATGGCGGCTACTGTTGTAGGCAGACGAACAGCGCAGACGAAGAGAGGGTATACAAGAATGACCATTTCGAACTTTGTTAACATCATCAGTCAATCATACCCGACCCCAGGCGGTGCACTACCGTGGAGGATCGTTACTGATAAGATTATGCCAAATGGCCAAAACATCCGGGTTGGAAGGCCAATTTGTCCAAACCTGGGGTGCGATATGGCTGGCTGACGGTGTTTAAGGAGAGAAAAAAACAGCCAGCCCGGCTTCCAATGGCTTCGTAGGTACTGCCGGTTGTCCTACGGGTCACCATGCGACTGCCAGTATGCGCAGTGTCCTGATCAACGAACACACTATCACCAAAGTCACGCTCTTTTCAAAAAAGAGAAACATTTTGTAAAGTGAGCAGACAATCTTATTTTTGGATCACATTGATAGCTGGAACCGCGACACGCCACCACTGTTTTCTGCCACGTCATCTGTTGACCACGTAGCGGTTATTTATAGTTGTTGTTAATTCTGAGTGTACACGGAAAGAAGCAGCCCCAGGAGTGCTATTTGAGTCGTTAGAACGAATTTTCAAAATGAACAGTCGTCATGTGACAGATTATACAATGATATGACCCGGCCTAGAAAAAATCTGGATGAATCAGAGCATTGCAGAGGCAAGCAATGCAAAGATTCTGTTCGCCGGACGCGAAGGGCCTATTAATATTCATGAGCAATGTCCCCTCTGTGCTTAATCAGGAAAAGAACAAAGGAATTCGACCTTCGTGGGGGAAGGATCACGATGAAGCCTCTTTTTCGGGTAGCAAACTAAAAGAGAACGTCTAATACCTTAAAAGTAGCGCATGTTGATTACTGGCATTCATTCTGAAAGAGTATTTACTTCAACTATTAGATTTACTTTTCGAAAGGACTAAGAAAGGGAACGGGACAATTATATGCGGGTTGGGGAGGGGGGGAGGCAGCCTTCAATGAGAATAACCTGCGCAGGCAAACAATATTTAGGAACCCCCCGCTCCATACACTTGATGGTTAGCATGGCAATTAAATTCGGCTACCGACCCATTCAGAGACCAACAAAAGACACCATCAACAACCAGGTATTCATCAACATCGTCAACACCGTCTAACAGACACCACAATGTTGGGATTCCCAGACAGGTACGATGCTAGTAACGCTTACTATTGAAGTTCAATTTCTAGACAACGAGCAGTCTGGGAACAAGCGTTACTCACGTGAACAACCTAAATCGAAATCCTACCGACGGCACAAGATAAATAAGGACATGATAATGCAAGAACAACTTGACTGACGCCTAACAACCAAATTGAATAAACCATTCTAATCACCCCCGCTACTTAAAGACCTGCCAGGGCTGCGGGTGTATTAAACTAAAAGGGACAATCCACAAACTACTCAAACTTAATGGTTAATGCTATTTTTCACTATGCGTTCGTCTTCATGCATTTACAAATGATAATGACGACAACAACAATTATTGGACAGTTGGCTCTTTAACTGTTTTAAAGGTTTATCAGAGGCGTGGTCGACACCTGCTTTACACGGGCTTTCTAGCGAATTGCACAACATTTCACAAGGTACGTGCCCCACCTGACAGTTCGACCATCGTTGCTGATGAAGGGCGGGCGAAGACTGGCGCATTATTTAACCTACAGTCGTAGTAGACTTGCACCGCATTCTCCGCACTCTCTCTCTCCTCTCCCACCTGAGCCCGGTGCCAAGACAGAACCCTCCCAAGTCACGACTGTTAGGGCAGCGTGATAGATTTAAGTGCGACAGAAGGATAGAAACCTAGGCGCAAGCATTAGTCATCGAACCGATCGCATATGAGATCACGGCGAGTTTTTTTTAATCTTAAGGGTATACCCAACAATCAGACTGCAGGTAACCGGTCCTCTTCGGGCATGTCAGTGTGGACACCTCAATTAGCCGGTCACAGGAGAAGATGGTTCCACGCTTCCCCTCCCCTAGCTTCTAAATCGAGAAAAATGGAAATCGCACATAGTCTACCCATGAGACTCCTAGTAAATATTTGTGGGTCCGCCTCAGTGATGACAAGCACGACCTTGCGTTCAGATCTCAGACAATGTACAAGGATTTGGTTATCAAAAGACTGGCATTCGAGCGCCAGCGGGTTGGAAAACTAAGGACACTGGGGTCCGCACTGTCATTTAGAGCAGAATGGATCAAACCAAACTTGGCGAATAGACAGCCCGGGTTCACGGCCGACATCGGCAAGAACCAAAACACTTCGCAGTAGTAGTTCTGGTCAGCGAAAATCAACAGCTTCGGAAGAGTGATGAATTGTATATAAAAGAAAGGACCGAAACCCGATGAGGTTGAAAATTGTACAAATATTAAGGGGACAAAGCAAAAAACTGACCCTGTCAGCAGGGCCTCTATGCAACGGCATTGATTGGCCAGAGGCAGGATTGAGGTATTGCTGCTGTTGTTGCTGCTGCTGCTGCTGATAAGGATCGTTGTCGCCCTGCCAACGGCTGTCGACAGAACCCTCCCGACTTCCGCCATAGCGAAGACCAGACTGGTTGTGTGAGTAGTTGAGACCGGGTCCTCCATCTGGCCGGACGACCTGCTAAAGTACACGAAAGAACAGGGCTATTCAGATGTACTGGAGACAATAATTGTTGACGTAAGCTAAGAATGACTGTTAGCCGACGCATGAATGGAATTCGAGGTCTCGGCTGAATCTTCGCGGGCAGACGGAATGTCACACTGGCATTACCCAGGCATGTGCTCTGGGGGCCCCAGAAATCCAGTCCCGTTTCACGAACCGAGCCAACGGCGAAGGCAGTAGCAATCCTTCATTACTGAAGATATCCGTATATGGGGCAGCTAGTTCACTCAACGGTGCCACAGTGACTGTATCAACGGGAGAACCCTGCAGGTGTCTGCCCAGACGGCTCAAGCCAGGTCCTGCAACGATGCCTCCTTCCGTCAACTCCGAAAGCTGGCAGCGAAGTCGACAAGGGATAATCGGCAGAAGTATTGGTCTGAAACAGCGATTTCCATAGTGCAGACCTCAACTGTTGATGACACTCAACTCTACCAAATTATCCGCCAGGTTAGTATTAAGCCCTCGACACTCGGTGACTGTTCGCGATGTGAATCTCGGCTTTATTGCTGACAACTCGGCCAAGGTCGACCGCTGACGTGAACATTTCGAGCACCTCAATTTTGGCGAGCAACCCCTTACATTCTTCTTCTCC